GCGTGAAGCTGGCATGGGGGCAGAGTCAGGGTGGCCAGTGTGCAGTCGCCATGCCCCCACTCTGCCCCTAGGTCTGCTCTTTATGGCAGTCTGTACAGCCCCATAGTTTGGCTACTATTCCTGAAAAACCCCAAAATCCAGACCCAGCAAAATGCAAATGAAAACCAACTGGAGTCATGGGTTTCCCCAGCAGACAATGAATCACTAATTAAATAGACACAATGCCTCCTTGCATATCCTCTCACCCTGAGGCCTTGCCATTCAACAACAGAACAACACACAGATTAACATGTAAATCACTCCTTGTAACCTATGGCCACACAATATATATATCCCCCACTCACTTCCATGCCAGCATTCTCTGAAGATGCCAACTACAGATGCTGGCAAAACGTCAAGAATAAACTCTTCCAGAACACAGCTACTTAGCCTGAAAAATCCACAAAAAAATCTGTACAGATAATTTCAGAGTCGTTATTGTGGGAGTATCTTTAGTAGACCAACTAAAAATACACAGAATCTTGGGGCTAACTGACAAGCCAATGTTTCTTTATCAGGTAATTATGGTTAAGGTTTCCCCCCAAAATTTATTAAAATTATACAATAAATAAAACAATAAAAGATGGCAACTCCCCCCAAAAAAATTACAATAAAAATGAACATTCCATAGTGTCACATGTATTTAATTCTATACAGATTAAATTGTTTGAAAAACATTAGGCCACAAAGTCAGATGGTAGGATGGTTGGTGGACAGTTTTATTGTGTGTGTTAACAAAATCAGTAAAAGGAAGCCATCTTTTCATAAAAAGATTCTTGGTTTTGTTGTACTAAGTTACATTTCAAGCTATCAGATAAAATGAAATGAAAGGTAATGATGTTTTTAAAAGGTGCTAGAATCACATTGTGTATGTCTTGTCTTTGGTGTTATACAGAACGCAGTGTCATACCATAATAAGAAATAAGAAAAAGGCAGCCCAAGGCTGAGGTTTAATCATTACACCAGCAAAAATGAGATAACCAGGTAACCAGTTAGCCCATGTTCTTTTAATTTTCTCTTTCCTTAAATTTAACTTTATCTTTTTTCATTGAGATTATCCTTTTCCTTTTCTTTAACTCTTAAAACAAAAACAAAACAAAAACCCACCAACAAATTCTTTAGTGAAATAAAATGTTCAAGTAGTTGTATCGAATCGTATTTTTCTCAACCTGAAATAGAAGTAGTAAATAGTGCAGAGAATAAGTGAACAAAGGTATAGTTATACTTCAGCAAAAGAAAATTAAACTATTGATATACAATATATCAGGTACAGATTTCTTCAGGTGTGTAAATTTAAAAAAAATAGTGTTATTTCCAATGTCATCTTTTTGTTTTATTAAATATAATGGAAGTATGTGCTGTTCTCTTTGCATTATTACAGATATTCCAATACAGTTTCCACAAAAAGCTGTTTAATGTGACTGAATATAACATTTAAATCAAAATTTCTAAACCAGGTAATTTTTTTTTAGAGCAATGGACAATTTTCCAGTTCTGCTTATTCTGGGAATCCCACTAGATATACCAGCATGTCTACTGTTCCTCAAACTCAAAGTGAAGGAGTTAGAATAATTAAAGTATTTAGATTAAGATAAGTCATATAAGTAGACAATAAAGACAAATCCTGTTGGAAAGGAAGTCACTTGTTATTTGTTATATGTTATATTATGTAAAGATATACGGTTTGTTATGTAAAGGTGTTGTGTCTGTATTCTTTTTTGTCAAGCTGTAGACATGTTTATGTATTCCTCTTTCTCTCTTTTTTATTATTGTTATGGTTAATGCTATTACATGTTCTTTTAAATAGAAGAGATGATATTAAGTTAATAAATACTGGGGGGGGGGGCTCCTCACAGTGGGGGACTTAGAGAAGAGAGAAGATCATGAGAGAAGGCAGTCTATGAGCTGAGGAGCTTTCCTGTTGGAGTCCTGCATTGGACTCTCTCAGCAAAACACTAATTAAAAACAACAATACACAGTTTTTGTAACATTAATAGACTGGGACAGGATGGAGAAGGGTGGGGTGGAAGGGAATTTACTATTATTGGCAATCCTCTAGTTGTTCCTAGGATGCATGGTGGGCATTTCCAAGGAGTGTGTGTCCTCCACTCAGAGCAACATGTTCAGAGGAAAGGGAAGCTCCACATGTTCCAAAGGTGCCATACAACATGAGTTGTGCTTAGCAATATTTCCTTTTGTGGACTGTGATCTTTTGGATGAGGAATAATAAATGTGAATAGCATACAATGCACCTATAATTAAGGATGCTGACTGACCACTGAACAGGAAAAATGATTAATATTAAACAATGAAGTGTAGCTGGAGGCTTGGTACTGCACAGAGACATGTAGCAAAGGGGTTTGCTATCTAGAAACAAGGGATATGATGAAGATAAAGGAGAAGGGTGGCCAGTGGTCCTCCTTTTCCAGGACATGCCCACATTTCAGCCTTCTATCCAGGAGAAATTCCAAAATGTCCTCCATTTTGAGCATGACATATAAATATAAATTCATGCTTCTTAGGCATTTTGAAATTCCTCCTGGACGAAGGCTGTGTTTTTAGCTTTTACAGTTACCCTTCTGTTTTTGTGGGGGCTCTGGAACAGTCTGCGAAAACTGTGGGGGGTCTGCGAAAACAGAAAACTGCAAATATATTGTAATGTCCTAAATCTTTCTTGAATGTCCTACATTTTGCAGTGCTTATCATCCTTTGCGGTTATGACATCTGTTCACCTTGTGAAGGAAAGATCCCTCTTAGCATGCACACCACTATTTCACAGAAAAAAACAGATCTTACGTGGATAAACAACATTAGAGTGTTGTCAAGTTGGCACAAGCTATTAATGGGAAGAGCACACAAACTAGAGCCATTATCACATGTCTTCATGACTGGGGCTGCTGTTGCTATCATGTTCTCCTCCATGCTCCCCCTTAACCCTGCCTCCCATGCCCTAACCAGCATCCCTTTTCTTTTCTTTTTTTCTTTTTAAAATGGAATTCCATAACTTAAAAAAAGTAAAGAAATTTTAAAAAGCAAATCAGGCTGCTTGGAAATAGTGACGAATTGTGAACAGGGGGAGAGGAGGAGACACTGACACCACAGGATTGCCAATCTTGCAACTTGCCCAGGTAGTGGCATTTTGCACTTGAGTGGTACTGGGACTGCAATTGGGGGCTATTGACAGGTTTCCCCCATCGATGAAAAAAGAATGCCCTAATCACACTTGGGAGACACAGCAGCAATGGGTCAGAAGTGACGCTGTGTGATAAGTATTGCCAAATGTGCTATTCTGTGACTATAATCATGGTTTAAAAGCTGTGTGTAGTAATCTCCCAGGAGTGGCTGCAGCAGAATACCTTTGTCTGAGCCAGCTGGGAAGGGCAAGGTTCTGCCACCTCCTCTGCTCTCCTCTATCCCTTGCTGAGTTATAGTGCACTCTACTTTTGTGCTTTAAACTGTTTGTAGCAACTGAATTAAACTGAGAATACAAAGGGGAAAGTGGGAGGAGGAGAGAGAAACGGGGGTATTTTAACAACGGCTGAAAAAGTGTGATGGAGACTGCTAAATCAGGACAACTGGAAGGTATGTCATAATATTTTTTTAAAAAAATGTGCAACAAAAGTGCAACCATTACCCTTGTGGAAAATCCCCATACATTTCCCCTAGTTACAAACTAAAATCACTGGAATGAGTAAGGATATTCAGGGGTATACTAAAGGAAAGGATGTAACAGGAAATGATGGAACCGGAGAAAAGACTGTGAAGAAAATAAGTGATATTTATTTCATATTTATTTCAACTATGACACGACGAGCCAAGGAGAGAAACAAAAGAGAATTTAAAGGGTCATGCTAGAGAATTTCCACTCCTCCCACAATATTCATGCCTGTCTCTGCTTGTACTGCACCTTGGTTTTATATCAGCTTAACTATACCTTGGTTTTATATCAGGTTTCTCCTGAAGAATCAGAGGACAAAGATCTCATTTTTTCGAGGACTGAACATTGATTGGAGGTGGTGGTGCAACTGGATTACTGCCTTTGCTGTTCTACCATTCTGCACCCAGTTCTACAATTCTCTGAATTTGCCATCCAGTTTTATGTGTGGTAAACTGGGCTTTAACTACCCTTCTTTCAATGCCAGCTTGCATAGCAGGAGGCCACTTGGTAGAGTGGGCCTTTGATATCTGCCAGGATTTGGTTCCAGGACCCTCCATGGATACCAAAAACCATGGATGCTCAAGTCCCATTGAATACAATGGAGTAGTAAAATTGTAGAGAGCCAGCATGGTGTAGTGGTTTGAGTGTTGGACTATGACTCTTGAAATCAGGGTTCAATTCCCTGCTTGAGCATAAAAAACCACTGGGTGACCTTGGGCAAGTCACAATTTCTCAGCCTCAGAGGATGGCAAAGGCAAACCCCCACTGAAGAAATTTGCCAAAACCCTATTATAGGTTCGCCTTAGGGTCGACATGGCCATTGGAGGCGCACAACAACAACAAATTGTGTCCTTTATATAAAATGGCAAAAATGTGGTTTGCTGTTTGGAATATACATATATATAGAGAGAGAGGGGTGTGTGTGTAATATTTTCAAGCCATGGATAGTTGAATCTGTGGATGCAGAACTCATGGATATGGATGTTTGACTGTACTTTGTGCCTTTTGGACTAGTTTGCCAGGGTCCCACTCTTCTCTCTTCAATGGCACTCAGAATCTTTTCCTGATCTTGCCTGATGGTAGAGTTCCATGTACTGATATAGAAACACTCCCCAAGACTTCATTGTTTGTAATGCCTTTGGAAATCCTTTTTTTTTTTTAAAAAAATTGAAATTGTTTTCTGGGTCTGGGTGGTGAAAACACAAATGCCTCTGAGATGATAATGTGGTTCTGCTTTTAGAGGCAAGGGCATGTTTTGTGAGCTGAAAACATAACAAAAGGGGCTGGCTAATGGCTAAGAAGGGATGAAATGGGTAGCTAGACTAGTTGCCATACTTCACAGCAAAACAATTTCCAAACTCCATGGAAACCAGCAAGGCTTGGAACGAGCTTTAGACTTCCCTACAGTATAGCTGGAATGAATCCAAGCACAGGGAGTATTGAATAGAGCTAACAATAACAATGGTACTCCCATTGCAAAGCTTCTCCTGTCTGTCCCCTATGAACTCAGTCACTCTCTCACGTTGGGGTCAAAGTGATTTAGCCATTGTTGGCAAATATCCCTTCACTGTAGATATGACATGATTCTTGGCCATGGTGGCTAGTGGTTGCATTTCAAGAAGGATGTTGACAAGATGAAACATGCCCAGAGAAGAGTGGCCAAGATGATTAAAGTTCTTGAAACCAAGCCTTATGAGAAGCAACTTAGGGAGTTTGGTATGTTTAGCCCAGAGAAGAGAAGATTGAGAGGAGACATGATAGCTATCTTTAAATATAGCAATAGCAATAGCAATAGCAATATCAACTACACATTTCTATATCACTTATCTGTGAACTAGCACTCCCTAAGCAGTTTACAATGTGTAAGCCAATTGCCCCCAACAAGCTGGGAACTCATTTTACCAACCTATGAAAGGATGGAAGTCTGAATGGACCTTGGAGCCCTTCTCTAGGACTGAACATACAGCATTGTAGCAGCAGTACCAGCATTTACTCACTGCGCCACCTGGGCTCCATAAAGCAGCTTCATTTATATATCGCTTCATACCACACTATGGGGTGTCTAAGCGGATTACAGCTGTGAGCTGATTGCCCCCCAACAAGCTGGGTACTCATTTTAGCGACCTCGGAAGGATGCAGGCCTGAGTCGAGCCTCAGCCCTGGCTGGTATTGAACTCGCAACCTTGTGGTTTATGAGTGAGTGGCTGCAGTACAGGCATTTAACCACTGCGCCACCAGGGCTCCATGTGAAGGAATGTCATGTCATGTCATGTTGAAGATGATAATAATAATAATAATAATTTTATCTGCCTCTCCCCATGGATCGAGGTGGGGGACAAAAACATTTAACAAACAAACAACAACAATTAATACACGCCAGTTAAAACACACATCAATTTAAAAGGTTAAGTAAGATATGCATATTTTAAGACAATCTACATCTAAAATTCATAATTTAAAATTCACAATTTAAAAATCATCTGGATAAACCTGCTGAAAGAGACCGGTCTCCAATTGTCTTTTTAAAAGATGGAGACAACCTGTTTCTTGCTGCTCCAGAGACTAGAACATTAAACAATGGATTCAAATTACAAGAAAAGAGATTCCACCTAAACATTAGAAATATATATATTTTTTTACCATAACAACTATTCAACACTGGAATAGACTGCCTCGGTGGTTGGTGGACTCTCCCTTACTTGGAAGTTCCTAAGCAGAGAGACTGGAGGGTTGTCTCTCAGGGGTGCCTTAGGGGGGATGCAGACCAGGGCGTCCAGGACGCCCTGGTCCGG